CTGAGGAAGGAGGATCACTTAAGCCCAGGAGGTTGAGGCTATAGTGAGTTCGTGCCACGGCACTCCAGCCTGGACAACGCAGTGAGACTCTGTCTCAAAAAACACAACACAACACAAAACAAACAAAAACAGGAAAAAGAGAAAAATCGGAATTCCACCAGCGCTGGCCACGCTGGCTCATGTGTGTAATCCCAGCACTCTGAGGGGCTGGTATGGGAGGATTGCTTGAGCCCAGGAAGTCGAGGCTGCAGTGAGCTGTGATTGCACCACTGCAGTTCAGCCTGGGCCACAGAGCAAGACCCCGTTTCTTTCTTTCTTTTTCTTTTTCTTTTCTTTCTTTTTTTTTTTTTTGAGACAGAGTCCTGAGTCTTGCTCTGTTGCCCAGGCTGGAGTGCAGTGGCACAGTCTTGGCTCACTGTAACATCCACCTCTTGGGTTCAAGCAATTCTCTTGCCTCAGCCTCCCAAGTAGCTGGTACCACAGGTGCCCGCCACCACTCCCAGCTAATTTGTATTTTTAGTAGAGATGGGGTTTCACCATGTTGGCCAGGATGGTCTCAAACTCCTGACCTCAGGTGATCTGCCGGACTCAGCCTTCCAAAGTGCTGGGATTACAGGTGTGAGCCACCACACCCAGCCCCAAGTGGCCTTTAAGTATAAAGAAGACCTACTTGTTTCTGGGAGCAAGATGTGCCTGGCACTTTTCTTGAGTAAGAAGTCTTTGCTCCTGTTTAGAGGCAGCAACTTTAGGTGGAAGGTGTTTCCTGAACAGTTGAAGCACTTCAAGGTAGACTTGAGGAACTTGTGTCCTAGGGCTAAATCCTGCTCATTCCTCAGTTTCATCATCCTGGGGTGTGTTCAAAAGCCTCCACTTAGAACAGTAGTACTTGGCTGGATGTGGTGGCTTGCACCTGTAATCTCAATACTTTGGGAGGCTGAGACAGGAGTTCAAGACTAGACTGGGCAACACAGCAAGACCCTGTCTCTACAAAAAAATTAAAAAATTAGCCAGATGTGGTGGTATTTGACTGTAGTCCCAGCTACTCAGGAGGCTGAGATGGGAGGATTGTTTGAGCCTGGGAGGTTGAGGCTGCAGTGAGCCACGACTGCACCACTACACTCCAGTGAGACCCAGTCTCAAAACAAAAACCAAAAAACAGCAGTCCTTAAAATAGGATGTTTGTGCATATGGGCTGTGTTTCCTGTAATTTGGTAAAAATGGTAAGGAAGATGTTTATCTTAGTCTACCAACCTAGGCTGAGTTTTAAAATCATGAGCACTAAATATTGCTTGTTATTTACATGTGGCTTTTTTTTTTTTTTTTTTTTTAATAGAGACTGGGTTTCACCATGTTAGCCAGGTTGGTTTAACTCCTGACCTCAGTTTTTTTTTTTTTTTTTTTTTTTTTTTTTTTAGAAAGAGAAAAAGAATAATAAGGAAAAGAATAAAGAAGAGGAAGAAAGAGAAAGAGGAAGAGGGAGAGAGAATGGGGGTATTGCTTTGTTGCCCGGGCTAGAATGCAGTCTAAATATGGGTATGCCTATAATTGTCCTTAATAATGGAGACATGAAAGAAAATGAGGGAAGAGAGTAACAAACAAGGAGCCAACCAACATTTCGTTTAAACTTCTAAGTTGATATGATGTGGTACTGATAAGAGTGTATATTTTGTGTAAAGTGGAGAGTTCTATAAATGTTAATTATGTTTACTTGTTCCATATCTGAGTTCAAGTCCTGGATATCATTGTTAATTTTCTGTCTCATTGATCTGTCTAATATTAATGTTGAAGTCTCCCACTATTATTGTGTGGGAGTCTAAGTCTCTTTATAAGTCTTGTATGTCTGGGTATTCCTGTATTGGGTGCGTATATATTTAGGACCTTTAACTCTTCTTGTTGTTGCATTGATTCTTTTATCGTTATATAACGTCCTTCTTTGCTTCTTTTGATCTTTGTTGCTTTAAATACTATTTTATCGGAGGCAAAAATTGCAACTTCTGCTTTTTATTTATTTATTTTTGCTCTCTGGTTGGTTGGTAAGTCTCTCTCCATCCTTTGTTTTGAGTCTTTGTGTATCCTTGAATGTGAGATGGGTCTGGATGCAGCATACAGTTTTGGTTTTTTGTCCAAATTGGCTGTCTGTCTTTGAATTGGGGAATTTAGTCAATTTAAATTTAGAGTTAATAATGATATATGTGAGTTTAATACTGCCATTTGCCCATTAGTTGATGTAAATTCTTCATTATATTGATATTCTTTACTTTTTGATATTTTTTAGAAAGGCTGATACTGTTTGTTCCTTTCTATGTGTAGTGGTTCTTTCAGAAGCTCTTGTAAAGCAGGCCTGGTGGTGATGAATTCTCTGAGTGCTTGCTTGTTCACAAAAAACTTTATTTTTCCTTCACTTATGAAGCTTAGTTTGGCTGGATGTGAAATTCTTGGTTGAAAGTTCTTTTCTTTAAGAATGTTGAATATTGGTCCCCACTCTTCTTGCTTGTAGGGTTTCTGCTGAGAGATCTGCTGTCAGTCTGATAGGCTTCCCTTTGTGGGTAACCTGACCTTTTTCTCTGGCTGCCCTTAGTATTTTCTCCTTCATTTCAACCCTGGTGAATCTGACGATTATGTGCCTTGGAGTTGCTCTTCTTGAGGAATATCTTTGTGGTGTTCTCTGTATTACCTGGAGTTGAATATTATCCTGCCTTACTAAGTTGGGAAAATTTTCCTGAATAATATCCTGAAGCATATTTTCCAGCTTGGATTCATTCTCTTCGTCACATTCAGGTACACCTATCAAGCGTAGATTAGGTCTTTTCACGTAGTCCCGTATTTCTTGGAGACTTTGCTCGTTCCTTTTTATCCTTTTTTCTCTAATCTTGTCTTCTTGTTTTATTTCATTGAGTTGGTCTTCGACCTCTGATATCCTTTCTTCTGCTTGATCAATTCGGCTGTTAAAACTTCTGCATACTTCACGTAGTTCTCGTATTGTGATTTTCAGCTCCATCAATTCACTTATTTTCCTCTCTAAATTTTGTATTCTTGTTGACATTTCGTCAAACCTTTTTTCAAAGTTCTTAGTTTCTTTAGATTGTGTTAGAACAAGTTCTTTTAATTCACAGAAGTTTCTCATTATCCACGTCTTGAAGCCTGCTTCTGTAATTGGAACACACTCGTTCTCCATCAAGCCTTGTTTCGTTGCTGATGAGGAACTGGGATCCCCTGCTGAGGGAGAGGCGTTCTGGTCTTGGGTATTCTCAGCCTTTTTCGACTGTTTTCTTCCCCTCGTTGTAGATTTATCCATCTGTGGTCTTTATAATTACCGTCTTTGTAATTGGGTTTCTGAGTGGACGTCCCACTTAACTGATTCTCAGCGCCGAAATCTGAGCAACCCACTGCGCCGACTCAATCAGCGGCGTTAAGATTGATGGTGCTTTTCTGACTCTGCACCGAGAACCGACGCTCTGAGGCGCCGGCAAAACCACCTCGCCGGTCACAAGAGTCGCGCTGGCGACCCGTGGGGCTCCTCCGCTGGGAATCTCCTGGTGCGTGAGCAACAAGAATTCATGTGAAGGTGTGGCGTCCTCTCGTTCTTTGCGTTTTCACTGGGAGCTACAATCCCGAGCTGCTAGTGATCAGCCATCTTGGATCTCTCTCCTGACCTCAGGTTATTCACCTGCCTTGACCTCCCAAAATGCTGGTCTTTTTGGTATTTTTTGTCTTTGTCGATCAGTTCTATGACTTGGGGGAGAAAGGTCGCCCACTTCCATCTTTAAAACAGGCGGGTGCAGCTTTAGTGATGTGCTTATCAAGTCTGGTGGTGAACTTGACGTCCTAAGCTCTCACCCTTTGAATGGCTCTAAATGAGAAACCTGGATTCTGGGCATTTTTCTTCATGTCGCTGATTCACTCACACTCACAGTCATTCCTTCAGTGATGCATTCGTTCCTACACCAAACATGAAGCACCTGCCCCAGCTGATTTTTTCCTTTAAATTCTCCTTTACTTAAATAGAGACGGGGTTTTGCTATGTTGCCCAGGCTGGTCTCGAGCTCCTGGGCTGAAGCGATCTGCTGCCTTGGCCTCCCAAAGTGCTGGGATTCCAGGCATGAGCCACTGCGCCTGACCACCTGCCTCAGTTTAGACAATGATTCTCTCTGCGGCAACCCAGTGCCTCTCAGAGTGCTCAAGTACTGGTTTTTAAAATTGTCCAACTGTTGCAGGTGGATACTATTGTAAAATATTTTTTTAAAAAATTACCAGAAAAATAAAATTTTAAAACCTCAAAGCCATACAAAATATAAGTTTTCTTTTCTTTTTTTTTTTTTTTTTTTTGAGACGGAGTTTCGCTCTTGTTACCCAGGCTGGAGTGCAATGGCGCGATCTCGGCTCACCGCAACCTCCGCCTCCTGGGTTCAGGCAATTCTCCTGCCTCAGCCTCCTGAGTAGCTGGGATTACAGGCAAGCGCCACCACGCCCAGCTAGTTTTTTGTATTTTTAGTAGAGACGGGGTTTCACCATGTTGACCAGGATGGTCTCGATCTCTCGACCTCGTGATCCACCCGCCTCGGCCTCCCAAAGTGCTGGGATTATAGGCTTGAGCCACCGCGCCTGGCCTAAGTTTTCATTTTTTAGTTTAAGATTCAACAGAGGCCAGGTGTGCGCACGCTTGTAGTATCTATTAGCTACTCAGGAGACTGAGGCAAGAGAATTGCTTGAACCCTGGAGGTAGAGGTTGTAGTGAGCCGAGATCTCTCTACTGCACTCTAACCTGGGTGACAGAGGGAGATTCCATCTCAAAAATAAAAAAATAAACCAACAAATCAACAAGAAAGATTCAACAGAGTACATTTTGAGTAGCATTGTGCTTGAGGGCACAGCTACAATACAGTGTGATAAATGTTCCCATATATTTGATATCCCAGGCGATAGGAACATAAATAGTTTTGTGGGAGCCCATGGGATTCAATTAGCTATGCAGTAGAAAAAGCCTTAAAGATTAGATTCTGGTGCTTGGCTCAGCAGCACGCCTGCTCAAATTGAAAGGAGACAGAGAAGCTTAGCATGGCCCCTGCACAAGGATGACATATAAATTTGTGAAGTGTTCCATAAAAAAAAAATACAAATTTTTAAAATTAAAAATCGGAGTCCAGGAGCCTCAATGTCTTTACTTGTCAGATAGTCTTCATAAAGTTGATGGGTGAGGGTGAAGCACCCAGCACTAAATACACTGACTGTGAGGAATTTTAAGCAAATCTCTTATCAAGTTCCATTGGTAGTTTAATAAGTCATACTTGCTGGGTGCGGTGGCTCACACCCATCATCCTAGCACTTTGGGAGGCTGAGGTGGGAGGGTCGCTTAAGCCCAGGAATTCAAGACCAGCCTGGGTGACATAGACAGACCCTATTTCTACAGGAAAAAAAAAAAAAAAGGAGACCATTTCTACAATAAAATAAAATAAGTCATGATTGTATCACTACAGTCCACCACCTGGGCAACAGAGCAAGCCCTGTCTCAAAAAAAAAAAAAAAAAAAAAGAAAAGAAAAGAAAAAAGAAAAGAGAAGAAAGGAAAAGAAAAGAAAAAATCATGTAAAGAGCTCAAACTCCTTACCCAAACTGACTTGCCTTGTAGAGCATTCTACAGATGAAAATATTTTGAAATAATTTTTATTGTCTGGGCGCAGTGGCTCATGCCTGTAATCCCAGCATGTTGGGAGGCTGAGACAGGTGGTTTGCTTGGGCCCAGGAGTTTGAGACCCAGGCTGAGCAGCATGGTGAAGCCTAGTCTGTACAAAAAATACAAAAATTACCCAGTGTGGCAGTGTGTACCTGTAGTTCCAACCATTCAGGAGGCTGAGGAGGGAGGTTTGCTTGAGTCTGGGAGGTAGAGACTGCAGTCAGTCGTGAGCCATGATCGTGCCATGACTTGTGACAGAGCAAGACCTTGCAAAAACAAAATAATATCTTTGGTAGGTTAAGGTGGGAGGATTACCTGAGATCAAAAGTTCAAGACCAGCCTGACCAACATGGTGAAATCCTGTTTCTACTAAAAATACAAAAATTAGCTGGGTGTGGTGGCGGGCACCTGTAATCCCAGCTACTGGGGACGCTCAGTCAGGAGAAGTGCTTGAATCTGGGAGGCGGAGGTTGTAGTGAGCAGACACTAGCCTGGGTGACAGAGCGAGACTCCATTCCAAAACAATAACAACAACAACAACCACCCAACAAAATAATAATAATAATAATATTTATTATAAAAGTAGAAGGGCCGGGCGTGGTGGCTCACGCCTGTAATCCCAGCACTTTGGGAGGCCGAGACGGGCAGATCATGAGGTCAACAGATCGAGACCATCCTGGTCAACGTGGTGAAACCCCGTCTCTACTAAAAATACAAAAAAATTAGCTGGGCATGGTGGCGCGTGCCTGTAATCCCAGCTACTCAGGAGGCTGAGGCAGGAGAATTGCCTGAACCTAGGAGGCGGAGGTTGTGGTGAGCTGAGATCGTGCCATTGCACTCCAGCCTGGGTAACAAGAGTGAAACTCCGTCTCAAAAAAAAAAAAAAAAAAAAAAAGTAGAGCATTTCATAGGGGAAAAAGGAAAGTTTCTCCTTACCTTTTCAAGTCTTTTATTATGCATGTGCAGATAGAGCAATGGGCTCACACCATGTCTACTTGGTTTTGCTTAAGGAACCTTTCTTGTTACACTCAATCACACGTCACTGGTGATGCTTTCACTTTACCACCTGTGGCCTTCCTCATTCTTTCAGGGGCCGTGTACTTTCCCCAAGGTTTAGGTGTATCACAGCCTGACGTTAGATCAGTGTTACTCATGAGGGTTGCAGTGAACATCCTGTGTGTATGTCCCATGCACTTATGTGTCTATTTCTTTAGGATAGATTCCAAGAAGTGAGTGGGTGTGTCCTTTTTTCTTTTTGAGACGTAGTCTCTCTCTGTCACTCAGGCTGGAGTGCAATGGCATGACCTTGGCTCACTGCAACCTCTGCCTCCTGGGTTCAAGTGATTCTCCTGCCTTGGCCTCCCAAGTAGCTGGGATTACAGGCGCCCACCACCACACCTAGCTGATTTTTGCATTTTTAGTAGAGATGGGATTTCACCATGTTAGTCAGGCTGGTCTTGAACTCCTGACCTCAGGTGATTCACCTGCCTTGGCCTCCCAACGTGATGGGATTACAGGTGTGAGCCACAGCGCCTGGCCTTTTTTTTTTTTTTTTTCCTGAGACAGGGTCTCACTCTGTCATCCAGGCTGGAGAACAGTGGTGTGGTCATAGCTCACTGCAGCCTCGACTTCGTGGGCTCAAGGGATCCTCCCACTTCAGCATCTCAAGTAGCTGGGATAGGATTAGGGGTATGTGCCACCACACCTGGCTAACTGGTTGTGCCCTTTTAAAAATTTTTGTATGCACTGCCAAAATTATCCTCCTGAAAGATAGTACTGATTGTGATCAGTTGTTAACGTCGGAAAGTTCAATGTTGAACCTGCCTCCGCTTCTGTGGGTCAAGAGTCTGAACAGGGGAAGAGCTTGATCAAGTTCACATGGTGGGAGGGTAAGCCAAGAACACACCCTCCAGACTCTATCTGGCAGGGTTCTGGTGTTCCTGTCAACCTCTTCAAAGCCCTGTGGCTACTTACCTTGTCTGGTATGATGCTCTGCTCAGAATCAGGTGGGAAGGCTTTCAATTCATGTCAAATACAAACCTCTGTTCTTGAGATTGTATCTTCAAGTCCCTTGTCAATAGTCAAAGATGACTGTCCAAAAAAAAAAAAAAAAAAAGTCCCTTGTCAAATCATCCTACAGGTATAGCTAGGTAGAGGGAGTGTAGCCCAAGCTTTTGAAGGCAGCCACCTTGAGTTCCAATCTCAGCTCTGCTCTGGCTGTAATTGGGGCATGCTGTTCCATCTCTGTGCCTCAGCTTCCCCAGGTCTGACGCAGTAACCTTCTCACCAAGGAACTGTGAAGGTAGAATGAGAACAATGTGTGTGAAAGGCTCCCAAGAAGTGTCTGTTTACTTCTAGGTCCTTCTTGTGGAGTCAGGGTGGGGATTTGTGGTTGAGGTTTCCAACAGAGGGCACTGTGTGAGCTGCAAGTGGGGAATCGGAGACAGTGAAAGGAGCGTTAGTAAGAAACTCCAAAGGAGCCAGTGTATACCTAGAATTTCAATTTAACTGAGGTCAGAGTCATTTTACTCATCACTGCTGCCCAGTTTTGGGGGTGATATGGAAAGATAATGTTTCCTGCGTTCGGAGGTTATTTAAGGACAAGAAGTGGCCACGTACCAAAATTCCACGGACACTCCCTACACTTTAAGCCCTCTCTGAACTCTTTGTGTCCTAAGTATTATAATTTGTCTTCCACTCGCTATCTCCCTTGTAATCCACCTCTGTTAACGACTCCACTATCTCTCCAGTCATCCAGGACTCTAACTTTATTTTGAATCCACATGGCTGCCTGGTTCAAAACCTCTAACACAGTCAGGTGCAGTGGCTCACACCTGTAATCCTGAAACTTTGAGAGGCTGAGGCAGGAGAATACTTTGAGACCAGCCTGGGCAAGATGGCAAAACCCTGTCTCTACAAAAAGCACAAAACTTAGCCAGCATGGTGGTGCATGCCTGTAGTCCTAGCTACTTGGGAGGCTGAGGCAGGAGGATCACTTGAGCCCGGCGGGGGGTTGAGGCTTTAATGAGCTATGATCACGCTACTGCACTCCAGCGTGGGCGATAGAGTGAGACCTTGTCTCACAAAACAAAAACAAAACAAAAAAAACCAAAAAAAGCCCTCTAACACACTGGTCTTCCCTGTCGGCATGTGGCAGCACCCCCAGATCACACATTCATCACCTCCTGCCAGAACTAAAAGCCACATCCAGAGGGGTTGCAGGAGGAGAGCTGCAGGGGCAGCAACCCGCACTGTCCCCTCCCTTAGCAATGTACTCAGTCCTTTCCAGGGTCTCCTGGCTCTGGCCCCAACCCCCCACCTTTGGTTTCCATAATAATGGCTGCCGCTTGTGGAGAGCTGACTGTAAAGCTGAGGCCTTTCTAGGTATGATGCCATTTAATTCTCACAACCATCCTAGAAGATACAAACTATTATTATCCGCTATTTATGGATGAGGAAACTGAGAGCCAACAGGGTGTAGCAAGTAAGGTCACACGGCCAGGAAGTGGTCACATTAGGATTTAAAGCTCTGTGGGTTTTACCTCTGTTTCCCAAACAGTGGTCTCAGCATCCCCCAGGGGTGTGTTAAGAGGGTCCCGTGAAATGTCAAAAATAGCAATGGCTTCTGTCTCAATGTTTATTTATTTTATTTTTCTGAGACAGGGTCTCAGTTGCCCAGGATAGAAGGCAGTGCTGCGATCTCAGCTCACTGCAGCCTCAACCTCCTGGGCTCAAGCCTCAGCCTCCCAAGTAGCTAGGACTACAGGTGTGTGCCACCACACCCAGCTGATTTTTTTTTTAAACAGAGTCCGGCTCTGTTGCCCCAGCGGGAGTGCAGTGGTGAAATCTCAGCTCACTGCAACCTCCGCCTACCGGATTCAAGTAATTCTTGTGCCTCAGCCTCCTGAGTAGCTGGGATTACAGGCGTGCACCACCATGTCTGGCTAATTTTTGTATTTTTAGTAGAGATGGGGTTTCACCATGTTGGCCAGACTGGTTTAGAACTCCTGACCAAGAGAATAGAAAAGGAAATAAAAATGGAGCAATGATTCTATGTACAACTGTCCTCGCCCATGGGGAAGTACTAACAAATAGAAACCTGAAATTCTCTCTTCTCACCTCTTAGAAACAAATACCAAATTATAAAAATAAACCTTTTAAAACACATCATGTAAGGATTCAAATTGTAGTAGGCTTCAATAAAAGGTGGCTGTTAGGAGGATGGTCCTTTCACTAGAAAATATGCTCCATGAGGCAGGCCTGTGTCTACTTTTACTGCTGGGTAAAATGTGTTTCTGGCACACAGGAGAGGCAAGAATTATTTGTTGAACGAGTGTTGATATGGTTGTCCCAAGGATGCGATGCAAATTTCTGAACTTAGTCTCTTTAGGAGAAACTAAGTCATGACCAAGATTTTCTTTTTCCTTTTTTTCTTTT